AAAACGGCCTGTTTCTATTTAATAACATATTAATAACCAGGTAATAAATAACCTTTTAAAACAAACTTAAAGAATAGTAATGACTACCAGGAAACACCTGTGGCAGCTTCTGTGTAATAAGCAGCAGTTTAATACTTTGGTCGTGATAGCTGAATAAAACAAGCATCAGGAAGTCTGCAGTGACCTGGAAGCACTGAGAGAGGATCCTGTTTCACAGCTTTATCATGACAACACATGACATTGTGTTTCAGGGAGGAGAGAAGGTGGAGCACAGTTTTAAACTGTCCAGTGTAGAAAAATAAGATGTTATCCATGTTCTCCTGCTTGTCCCATTGAGGGTTGTGGGGGGCGCAGCACCATCATCACCACCTTCATCACTGACTCTTAACCATCCAAAGCCTTTCCTTCAGCGAGGAGCACACAGCCGCCCACTGCATACTGGAAAACTAGAAGTTTGAAAAGAAAAACAATGTTAAACCAAGCGTGATGTAACTGGCAGCTCTGTGAGCAACACTTTGTAAGACACAGACTGTCCTGTTGAAAAAGTGCACCATTATAATTTTGTATGAAGTAAAATAATTGATTCATCTTTTTCCTTTTCTAAGCAAAACCACATATTAGAATATTTCATGTCTGTCATTAAAAATAATGTGCTGGGGGTAGATATATTCTAGTTCAGAGTGGCTAAAGTTAGCAGTTGGCACCCCTCGTCTTTGTCTTTGTCCAGGGTTCAAATAGGAAGTGCAGACTCCCAGTAGGCAGCAGTCTGCCACCTGCTGGCAGGCAGCTCTTTGCAGGCTGTTTCTATTTATACGTATTACACAGAAGCCACCACAGGTGTTTCCAGGTAATTATCACAGACTTTTTAAGTTTGCTTTAATATTTTATTAATATGTTTGTCCAGTTTGTCCTGTAGACAAACTGATGAGAGTCCAGGTAACATGGGAGGCCGGCCTTTACGTGCTGCAGGATAAGACTCGGGAAACATTAGGTCTGGAGTTGGTGAGACACTTTCGGGCAGATGATGATCTGTGATCCATGTGGTCCACACTGCATATTTAAAAGTACCAAAACACGCACACTAAATGCAGCTTCATTCACATTTCATCAACTTTGAATGAAAAATATGTTTCAACACTTTTTCTCACAGGATTTAATAATAGTGAAAGCTGCTCATTTGAAACCAATGTGATGTATTACTGGGGAGACTGAAAGACGGCTGGCTGAACTGGCTGGATGTCAGAGAGCGCCATGGCAGTGCAGCCCATGTGACACAGAGGAAATGCACTCTTATACTTATTCAGTGTTGCAGTGTTAGACTTTTTATAAAAAAATAATTTGGTGATAACATGTTGGCGAGTAAATACAAGCAAAGACAATAAAGCATAATCTTATTATGTTTTATAATCAGATGTAATAAAAAAACTGAACAAAAAATGTAAAAACAAAAAAATACTGATCTTTCTCAAGTTACAGGGATTTCTGCATTTATTACTCTTAAACTATGTTATGATGTTCATGTAGGTCAAAACTGAGAAAGTAACATTTTAAATGCTTTTATTTTGAAGACAGAAGAATAGAGCATGCTCTAGGTACTGCACAGCACTGGTTTGAATCTTAAAGACTCTAATTTTCTGCGTAGACACTCTAGAGCAATGTTCCCTCTAAGCTGCTGGCACGCTCTCTGTGCACAGAAAATCTGCATTGCGCACAAAAAAAATCTAACCTGAATTGAAATCCGGTCGTTAAGTCTGACGTCACTAGCCGTGTCTGGGCCTAAACTCCGCTGCAGGTCCATATATCAAACGATCACTATGGCATTACTGAGAGTTGAAAAACTGT